ATAAACAAAAGCATACAGCATACGTTTACCATTGCTCATAGTGATAAACATTACTAGTAATACAAATTCAACATCTATAAATATATATATATAATTATTAATATTATTATTATATTTAATAATTTTAATTGAAATGATTTTAAAGTAAGCATTTCCTTGAATGAAAAAGTGAGAGCTGATCTGGTTTAAATTAACAGATCTTCCATACATACATACATACATACATACATACATACATACATACATACATACATACATACATACATACATACATACATACATACATACATACATACATACATACATACAATGACAAAAGAAGATTAATTAAAGGTTCATCTATTTACTTAATAAACAAACAAATGAAATAAAATAATATATAACACATAAATACACATACAAACACACAGACACATGACCAAATACAAAAAAACAAGCAAACATACATATATACAAACAAACAAACAAACAAACAAACATACATACATACATACATACGTACATACATACAAACAAACAAACATACAAACACATACAAACATAAAAAAGAAATTTCCAGTTACAACTGAACATCCAGTTTTGCCTAGTCACCATCATCATCATCCTTCTTTAACATCTATATCATTTTCTCAAATCTCTTACTATAAGCATGTATACATACATCCAACTCACATCATCATAATTCTATAATTGCATTAATTAATGATATCTATCTATTTTTATCTCTTTGTATCTGTGTATCTTCACAGGAACTGATGATTATCTCTTTAGTTATGAGATACTGATGATGATGGCAGATAACAACAAAACATAATAACAATAGTAACAAGACTAATATCATCAGTTCGACTTGAACGTTGTAAGAAAAAAATGTGATACCTATGTATCTGTTAAATTTTTTTTTTTCCAAATTTTCATTTAATTTGAAAGTAGACTTTTTTAGTTTTGAATTTTGGAGATTTTTTGCTGGCGTTTTTGTAATGAATTGTGAAATGTAAATATGAATGAATGATTGGTTGAATGAATGAATAAATGAATGAACAAACAAATGACTTAATGCAGCAAAACAATTAACTAACCAGCCTATGAATGATCATATGAATCAATTCATTAACTAACAACAAAGAGGAAACTGAGAAAGATTAAATGAAAGAACAAATGTAGAAAGAGGAGGAATGAACGAATGAAGGAATGAAAGCTAAACAAACAAATATCTGAATTGATAAATGAAAGAAAGAAAGAGAGAAAGAGAGAGTGCATGAATAAAACAGAACTTAATTTAAATCCGTGAAGAAGAAAAAAAAACCATCACACGATAATTAAACACTGAAGAGCTCAAGAGCCTTGCATAGGATACAACATCAATACACAACATCAACATCAGTTGATGAATTTTAAACAGATCATAAACCTCAAGACTAGGTATTGCTAATAATATACCTTCTTGTGGGTATCACACCACACATACACACACACACACGTGCGCGCGCGCACGCACACACACACGCAAACAGAAGAAATTAATAAGTTAATAAAAAGTTGATGAATAAAATGTTAAGAGTATTCCTTGAGTAACACCTCAATGTACTTGTGAGATTTAAAAACGATATGACTTCTTTACAAGTCAGTCTGTCTGTCTCTCTCTATATATAATCTCTGTGTCTCTGTGTGTGTGTGTGCGTGTGTGTGTGTGTGTGTGCGTGCATATTTATGTCTGTGTGTCATATATATACATCTTTATATATATATATATATATATATATATATATATATATATATATATATATATATATATATATATAAATACATACACACACACATACAAACAGACATACATACATACAGACATACACATACATACATACATACACACACATACATACATACACACATATACATACACAAACACACACACGCATAAATATTAGCCAAATGAAAATTTATAGCATTTCTTAACAATAAAAAATGTTATTTATTGAACTTCTATTTTGCAGACTTAGTTTCTGACCTCTGTGCATGTATGTGTGTGTGTGTGTATGTTTGTATGTATGTGTGTGTGTGTGTGTATTATGAATGTGGTAAAGTGCCTCTAATTAAAAAATTCTTAACATAATATAATCATAAAATTTAAATGAGCATAAAACTTTGTAAGTAAATTTTTTAACTTACACACACACCACACAAATACATACACACATACATACACACACCACACACATACATACACACACTCATACACCACTCATACACCACACATACACACTCACACACACACAAAAGCTAAATAAACTGGCCTGTTAATCAATCACATTTTTATTTAAAAGGTATAAAAAAAACCTTTTTTGTTAAGGTTGATGAGTTCCGATTCGATGGGTACCACCTCTTCCACCGTAATTGACCTCTTGTCCATGAATTGAACTTTGGCCTTTTCCAAAGACTGCAGGGACTGCCAGCCTGGCTATCATGATGATGATGATGGTGGTGATGATGATGATGATTATGGTGATGATAATAATGATGATGGGATGATGATTGGAATGATGATGTTGGTAATGGTGATGAGGAAGATGGTGGTGGCTTGTGTGGTGGTGGTGATAGTTAGATTTTCACAAAACTATGTTACCAAAAATATAAAATAACAACATTAAATTAGAATTAAAAATTAAAAAAATTGGTTAGTTTTTTAAAAACTAATTAGAATTAAGTAACAAACAAACTTAATTAGAAAATTAATTAATTAATTAACTAACAAGGTTCTTTTTGGAACTCGTTAGATTTAAATCTGATTTACTTTTAACCATCATCTGAGCTAACTCTTCAGACCTGACACTGCTTATGGATGGAATTCTCCCGTTTTGTTTGTCACCCATAGTAATAAATGTTTACTTCACAGCCGAAATAACTTGATTTATTTAAAATTTAAATTCAATTTTCGTAGATTTTACTGATGAAATATATGAAATATTCAACAGAATATCAAGCAACTATTTTTTTAGTTAAATTAAGTGAGATATCCGTTTTTTTCTAGACATAGTTTGGAGTTTAATGACCCTAGACTAGACAGATGTCAGGATGATCATCATTTTTAAATATTCTTTGTTAAAATCTTAACTAATTAGTATTATTATTACAGAAGATAGTTGTAATACACCCCTATAACAAAAAATATATAAAGAGAAATTAATTCAAATTAACATTATATCCAAATAAATTTTTTAAATAATTAACTGAAATTAACTGAAACAAACAAATCAGATCAACACAATGATGATGATAATAATAATAGTAACAAAATGATAATAATAATAATCTCTGACAATTCTAATTATGTCCAAAAATAATTGCAAATGTTAGTAATATTGTTAACTGTCAACCAAACCAAACCATTATTAAGTGAACTAATAAGTAATGAACTTAAGTATTATATATAATCATAAAGATGAATCATACTTTCTATTATTTATTATTAACAAATAAAAAACAAAAAATTATAATAAAAAAACAATATTGAAAAAAAATTTCTATTTGTTACAAACTTTTTTTTATATATCCCCACTAACCACACATTTACTCCCTTTCTCACTCTTTCATTCACTCATTTATTCACTCTTTCATTCACTTACTTAATAAATTACATTTACAATCAATTACAATCTTCTTACTATTCAATGAAAATAAGCTAAAATAACTAAATTAAATATGATTACTAAATTAAATTATCAAAATCTGCCAAATAATAATTCAACTTAACTATTATCCATAATTATAAATTAAATTAAAATTAATAACTAAATTAAAATAATTAATTATTATAAATAGAAAAAAATTAATAACTTACTATTACTTTGTCTGAGATCATTTCAATTAATAGCGTAAAATTATCAATATTAATAATATTGATAATTATTTATTTAGTAATTATTTCTACGTAAAATTCTTTAAAATACGATTTTTTTAAAGAAATTTTACGTTTTTGATCAAAGCGGCGAGCACTCACATGAAAAAAAGCATTGAAATTAGTGATGTTACCTATTTGCATACCGATACCGATTGAATCGAGTCAAGTAAATATCGGATAATACAATTTTTTTTATAACTGCGAAGTAATATACGTCATATATAGAATGTACGTATATTTAGAATGTTTTTAAAGTATATAAATATAGTAATATGCATTTTATTAACATAAATCCTGCGAAAGTAGTCTTTATTTATACACGAATGTTAAATTTTAGGGTGAATAACCATCGTTCGATGAGCAATAATTTGAAAATTAAAAGCTGTTTTGCTCTGTTTATCAGAATCTGTCAGAGGATCATCGACAAATATTTAAATAAATGAAATTTTAATACTTTTATTTTCATTAAATCTATTCAAATTTTTGTAACTCTATAACTGTAGTGTATAAATCGACAAAAGTAGTCAGTGTTCTAAGAATATTAAGACTACTTATGAGAATAAGTGTAAGTGCTTGGCGTGATTATTTAAAAATAAAATATCCAAAATATTTTCAATAATTGTTCGAGCTTACAAACTACAAAACCACAGAGTAATATATGAATTAATCTGCGAGTTTCAAAGTTCAAAATATTCACAGATATTTTTAAATGAATTGTTTAAACGAATTAAATATGAATTGATTTTATTATTATTGATTATATTATTATTGATTGATTGATTGAATTGAACTCAAGTTTGTGTGTGTATCAGTATCACGCACATATATTGTGTGGATGATTTGTATTATGCGTGCGTGTTTGTATCATTTTGTATGTACCTATAGTATCTTGTATGGCGTAGTATCTATGTTGTATATATATTGCATATAATGAGATGCTGATGTGAATGTAAAACTGTTCTCCGATTAAATGATTTGATTGAACAAACTTCTTCTTTCTTTCTCGTGCCTTATCCATTCCAGACATTGGCAACCATCAACCTTCACAAAACCCGATCTTTAACACTTTGTAGTAGTTGAAATGTGGTGATATACAACAAAT